GTATGTACTTCTTGGTACTTAAGAGAAAATAGAATCATCTTTAAATTTCAAAACATTCCTGGGTAAGGTCACTTATAAGAAGTTTAGTCCAGAAAAAATATTATTCTTGTGTTACAAAATCAAAGCAGTGGGGGGGGGGGAATCAAAGTGAATGATCAGTCAGGAAAAATATGTCAGTTCCAAAATGCTGCAGGAGACTGCACAAAAAGCACGGTAATATTTAAGCTTATGCTAAACATACTTTTTTTCTACAGTCACGTTTCACCAAGTGTAAGTTTCTATATACTTTGTTAAATGTCTCTTTAAGGATTTATTCTGAGGGATTTTATACCATTCTTGGGCTTAAAAGTTCAGGCAAGTTTAAGGGGCTGGGTAGACTTTGAAAGTAAAAGGCCACATGGAGGATAGTCATCAGAACATGGCACTGTGGGGACTGAGATCACCCCTGTGTGCCCTGCTTGGCCAATTTATAAGGATCTGGGTAGTTCTCATGAGTCATAGGCAGCCCAGGGCCTCAGCCAACCATTCTGCAATGAACATGGGTCACAAATCACACAATGGCCCAGAGGCTATGTGTGTGTGTCTGGACTGATATTGTCCCACACTGGAAAATCATCAAAGGGGTTAATGGTAGGCACATAATGACATCTTCGATACCAAAGATGTCAACACCACTACAAACATCACTGTGACCATTGCAATAAGTATTTTACTGAAGAAAAAATAAACGAATAATTCCCTGAAAACTGACCAAAGCAGTGTTAAGAAATCTTATGAATTATTGATCTCCTTGAATGCAAATGCCTACTCCTTGGTGTAACTGTATGTTCTAAAACCAAAAGGCAAAGGAAACAGCTGTTCTCCGACTGTCCATTGAAACTGTTCTTGTTAAGGTCACATTGACCTCCATGTGGCCAGATCCACTGAGAGACTCTCTTGGCCCTCATCTTACTTATCTCAGCAGTGTTCAACACAGTTGACCATTCCCTCCTTTTAAAACATAAATCAGATTGTTTTACTTGTCTGCCATAAAACTCTCCAAGGCGTCTAATTGTACTTTAAAATAAAAGTCAAGCCCTCAGAACGCTATCTGATCTGGCCCCACTTTAACCCTTTCAAATCTAGTCTTCAATCATTTTCTTCCTCTATTAGAATACTTCTTTTCCTAGAGGATCCCAAGCTCTTTCCTGTCTCAGGGCCTTTGTACTAGCTGTTTCCTCAGCTGGAATGCTTTTCTCACAGCAGGCTCCTTCTCAGATGTAAAGTCTCAAATCAAAATAGTCTCCTTAGAGAAGGTTCTATGACCATCTGTAATAGCTACCACCTCCATTTCAGTTTTTCTTTCTCATATTAATCTTGTATGTCTTTTCTTAGCACTTATCATGTTGGCAAACTATCTTTTTTTCTGTTTACTGTTTCTAGTCTGTCTCTTCCACCCCATCTGGGATGTAAGTTCCTTGGGGACAGAGACCTCACTTGCCATGTTCATTGCTGTATCCACAGCACCTAGAAAAATACCTGATTCATAGATAATGCTTAATGAATATTTATTTGGAGGAAAAAAGGGAGGGAGGGAAGGAGGGAGGACAATGCTCTCAACTAGCATGCCCAAAGACTGGTAGATACCACTAAATCTTGAATAATAGGTTCAATTAATTTTGGCTATAGCTGAAGATATAGAGAGCTGCTGTTGTCATATGGGATGTTGAATTGATGCAGGGTAACACAGCATTCAACTTATGGTGAGTAAGAAGCATTGCATATGGATGCTAAGGCCAGATGCAGTATCCATTGGGATAAAGAGGACTTGACTTTATTAGAATTGACTTTGAGACTATAATAGGAAGGCATGGCCAGGGCAATGGACTCTGCTCCCACAGTGCCCCCCTAATGCTGAGAGGGAGGGAGCGAGTCCTGTGAGCCCTTGAAGGCCAGAAAATCATGGCTCAGAACCCCACCTAAGTTGCTGTTGGCCCATAGCCAAACCTGAGTTCTTGGAAGGTAGAGGTAGGGACTTGTTCAGCATTCAATAATCATTTGTTGAGTGGCCATATTTAAGAGGGCTTCTGCTGTTGCCTCCTCCTCCTCCTCCTCCTCCTCCTCCTCCTCCTCCTCCTCCTTCTGCCTCTGCCTCTGCCTCTTCTTCTTCTTCCTCCCCCTATTGTTGTTATTGTTATTATTATTATTACTATTATTATTACAGGTGCTCACTCTGTCACCCAGGCTGGAGTGCAGAGACACAAGCCCTCCTGGGATCAAGTGATCCTCCGGTTTCATCCTCCCGAGTAGCTGGGACTACAGGCTCACACCATCATGCCTGGTAATTTTTATTTTTTGTGGAGATGAGGTTTCTTAAGCTGGTCTTGAACTTCTGGGTTCAAGCAATCCTGTTGCTTCAGCCTCCCAAAGTGTTAGGATGACAGGCATGAGCCACTGAGCTTAGCCTCATTCATATTATTTATGTTTTATTTACAAGACACTTGCACACAGTGTTTATTATGCACCAAGTACTCTTCTGAATGTCTATAAATATTCTTCAATCTTCACAAACACCACTACAGGGGAGACAGTGTTGTTATTACTACTTTACAGATGAGGAAACTGAGGCATGAAAAACAAAAGGGAATTTGCTACTCGGTGGCAGAGCTGGGACTTGAACTTATTGTAGATAGTCTTGACTCCAGAGACCATGCTTTTAAACACTATCCTGTGCTATCAAGAGTGTCTAGGGCCACAGCACCATGAACCAAGGACAGGTGGAAGGAATGGTAGCATGAGGAAACGGTAAATGGGGAAGGTGGGGACTTACCCCTTAAAGGAACATGGAGTGGTGAAATCCCACACACTTTATACACCACTTCCTGGTGTCACCTCTGCTGACTGAGGAACAGTGAGGAGTTGAGAACTTGGCCTTATTTCTAACCAAGTTCCTTTAACCCCACAGTTGATCTCTTCTCCTGTTCCTGTTTCTAATCTAGTTCTAGATCAACAATTCTCAATTCTGGTTCAATTCTGTCTTTGCTGCCAAGGGGACACTTGGCGAATACTAGGAACATTTTTGGTTGTCACAACTTGGGGGGTTTCCACTGGTATCTAGTAAGTGAAGGCCATGGGTACTGCTAAAGATGCTACGAACCACAAGACAGGCCCCTCAGCAAAGAATGGTCCAGTGCCAAATGTCAGAAGTGCTATGGATGAGTCACCCTGGTGGTCCAGCTACCACCTTTCAGAAAATTAACAAGAATGGGTGGTAAGGCCTTCAAGGACAGGCCCGTCTGTGAATCCCTGAGAAATACCAACCTGGACCCAACTGCATCTCAATAAAAATGCAGGGAAGAGGCAAAGACCTTTCTACTTCCCTGCCTCTCTCTCTTGATTCCTGGAACCACAGCTACTCCCTCCTGCCTAGAAGCTAAGAACAGCCCTGGCCCACATGGCACACAGCAGAGGCTGCTAATACCCACTTCCTTTGGCAGCTTCTTAATGCTCTTGGCTTGGAATTTGGTATTCCTCGAGCCCTTTTGCTTAATTACATTCTAGAGATGAGGGGAAACCTATGCATAATTCAGAAATGAACAGCCCTACCTTTGATTCATCTCAAATATGCCAAATCAGAGTAGTACCATGCTACTCCTCCCAACTGATTATGGGAATCTCTGCAGAAACAAGTGGACCATGAGTCCAGCTGGGACTAAACTGGATCTTTAAGCTGGAAAAGAAAATTTAGAATGCCCTATAAGGATGATAAAAAAGAAGAAAACTCAGATCAGACTTAGGATGGAAGAGAGTAGGGAAGCTAGGTAGTTTGGTAAACCCTGAAGGCCTGAACTTGACTTCAAGCTCTGTCCCAGAGCTCTGCAGCCTGGGATCATCACTCTACTTTTCCTGGTGGTTAGGGAGCCCCCATAAATGTACTGGAAGTGTCAGTGAGAGAGGCCGTAAAAGGGCCTCATGCATGTGGATTAGAGTAAAGCCTCATTGAATTTTTGTTTATTTACTTGCCAACGTTCATCCTTTTATTCACTTATCACCATTTATCCTTTTAACCATCTCAACACCCAAGAGATCCAAAAGTTATTTAAGTCTCTAGCTCACCAACCGAGAAGCAGTTGGATGTCCTGAGCACTCAGTAGAATCATAACGAACAAAAATAAACTTTGAGAAGCACTGTATGTGACTTGATTTGCAGTCATTTTGAGGAATTCTATAGTTGATTGGATTTTAAAATTGGGCTTCAGTTAATGAATAAATGCACCATCCAGAGTCAAGAGCATGTACTGAAGTGCTATTTCATGGCCATCTGTGTGGCAAAAAATATTGCCTAGGATGGTATGTAGGATCCTGTTCAGATAAATAAATCAGATCAGCAGTTCTCAAACAGAGCTAATTATCAAAATCAACTGGGGAGCTCTCTGAGCTCGCAGATTATCCATTTGACCCCCAAGAGCTTATCCAATACACCTAATGGGGTCCAGAAATGTCCAGGTCCCAAACTCTAAGATCAGCTGGGTTTAGGACCTCTTGACAAGGTTTCTAAATTGTGTGAAGCCGTTCACCAAGTGCCAGGCAACAACCCATGATCCTTAAATCTCTTCCAAAACCCTCAACCAGGATGTTTTGCACACATTGTTTGAGGCTGCATTTGCTTTGACATCTAAGAGAGCATTCTTAGATATGAGATTTGTTTTCCTTCCAGCAAGATGCTCTGCATCACTACTACCAATTAGGCAAGTTCATTTAAAAGCTTTGAATCCATACTTTCAAAATTCCACCCTTTGCTCGTCCAACTTTATGTCTAAACAGTGCAGCTGATGGCTGTACAGTTCCATTTATGAATTCCACTCTTATGAATGTACTTCCAAAATTGTTTCAGAATTTCTTTGTCTGGGTAAGCCAGGACTGCTGGTTTTAATAAGAACATGGTTTAAACATAGTTATCCAGGTCACTGATATTTCATGGCTTCCCAGGACACGGACAGCACCCAGTACCCAGAGAGTACCTTCTCTTTGTAAAACAAACACTACCCTCACACACCCCACTCCATCTTTTCCTTTTACAAAAGGATTCCTGCCACACTCCCCTCTCACACATTTTTTTCTTTAGAAAGTATAATATGGCTTAATAGAATGAAAACTGAGGCTAGGTCAAGTGAAAAGCAAGTCCTGCCTCTGGTTAAAACTCATCAACATCACAAAGTGATTCACAATAGTGTCTAGCAAAATGACTTGCACACAGTAGGTGCTCAATCACCAACTGAATGAATTCAAGTATTTGGGCAAATGTTTGTACCTCCATTTAAGAAAACCCAAATGAAAATCCTCTGAACAACTGCAACATTCCATAGCATTCACATCTGAGAACGTGCTTTATTACATAATCAACAAAGTAAAAAGAACTTTATTTTTAGCTACTGGACTTTGCAGGAAGACTGAAGTCCCATTTAAACTTCTCTTTCATCCCTAACCTTCAAATGACACTCCCATGATTTGCTTCTTTAATTTGTTTTTTATATTAAAAAAGACTCAGTTAAAGATGGCCTCGAGCATATTTAAAACAATACAAAACAACAAGAGAAATAAACCAGATGGCAAAAAATCATAAATCAGGACAAGCCGTGCTGAACAAGCTACAAAGGAAGGCATCGTCAAACTGTAAAGGCACTTTGTTCCTCATGGATAAGTCTCCATTATTGCTTCCTTGCAAAGGAAAGCTCGGAGGTCATCCAGAGGAGGGTGGTGTCGTCCCTCCTCGACCTGTCACAAGTCAAACTGGAAAGAGCTGCATGACAGTTGAGAACCCCCAAAGGGTCAGTACTCAGAGCAAGTAGGTGGAGCGTTACTTCCCAAATGATAGAAAAATAATGGTTTGGGAGAGTCTTTGTTTTAATTGAATGATGGCAAAGGTGAGGGAAAAGAAAGAAATTGACCCAGTATATCTGAGCTGTTTCTAACACATGATGAAAACAATAAAAAGTCTTCTCTCAAAACACCATACTCTCCTGTCTTTTTTACAGGCATCAATAAAAGGACACACCTTACAGAAACATAACTGGCACTCTCTAGGTTGAGGAAGACAAGAAAGAGATGCTAAAATTCATGACCCAAGCCAGGCTCGGTGGCTCAGCCTGTAATCCCGCGCCTTTGGGAGGCTGAGGTGAGTGGATTGCCTGAGCCCGTGGGTTCGAGACCCGCCTGGGCAGCGAGACCTCATCTCTACAATAAATCAAAAAATCAGCCGGGCGTGGTAGCGCATGCCTGTAATTCCGGCTACTTGGAAGGCTGAGGCGGAAGGATCGCCAGAGCCCAGCAGGTCGAGGCTGCGGTGGCCGGAAGCAGCCACTGCACTCCAGTCTGGGTAACAGAGTGAGACTTTCACTCAAAAAAATAAATAAATAAATAAAAAAAATAAAATTCATGACCCTTCTTGCTTGGCTATGTCTCTGACACTGGACTAAATGTTTGAACCTTTCCATGGAGATAGGGCTTTTAATTTGGGGAGATTTCTTTGTTTTATTGGATCTCTGTGATAGTTGGGTGGAAAGTACAATATTCAGGGGTTATTTTACAGAGCTAGATATAGATATATATCAACCTGCATTGGGCTGGCCTTTCAGCTCTTACAACAGCTGAAAGACGGTGGCGCGCAGTGAGACTCAACACCCGTGAAGGCCAAGAGATTTCATGGGATGAGCGCGGTGGCTACAGAACCTGAGAAACAGGCTGCAGCATGGAGGCAGGGGTGTGGCAGGTTTTATAGAAATTTAAAGCGACCTGTCGGGTACCTATTGGTTGGTGGGTGAGGCATTTTTGGGATTGGCGGGGGCTTTCGCGGGCGCGGGAACGGTGGGCTTTGTTGTGGAAGAAGAACCCGGAAAGCCTTGTCCAAGCCTCCATGTTAGTTTGTCCGGGCGCCTTCTTAGGCGGAAGCACCATTTTAGGTGGGGGCCACACCTAGGCTTAGCCTTTGGAGGGGGCGGGTTCCTCGTGGCTGGCTGGGGCCTTTCAACAGCTGCCATACATTTCTAGTGCACTGAAAAGCTTTTTTTTTAAAGTCAACAATAACTAAGCCTCTTAGGCAAGAGTACATGTCCATTACTTTTAGATACTTAGGAATACATGCTGTTATGTTGTAACACAACATGCAGAAAATCTGGCACTAATTTTTTCTACCCTGGAGCCCTGTTTGCACAAATACTGAATTATTAACCCCAGAACATCATCCTTGTCCCCCTCCCCATTTTATCCACATGACCTGGAAAGATGCAGAAGATTTGCCAGGGCATGCTTGTCAATGTGAATTTATGGGCACGGACAACGCCAAGGCCTCCTGTTCACTACACACTGAATGCTTTGCACCACCCAATAGGGATTCTCTGAGTGGGAGAAGAAATATGGCTACGTGACTGTGGATCTGAGCAGCACAAAGGGATTACATCAATAGACCTAAATCTTTCTATTCCCTTGGCACCCTTACCCTCTTTGTTCCACAGCTATTATGAGTGCATCAGAGTTTGCTGTAAATTGCTTTTCTGAAAAGCTCTAGAACTTTGTGGATATGCTAAGAAGATAAGGAACCAGTAGTGGATTGTCTCTCCCACCTGCTTCCACAGCCTCCAGTACTTTCCCAATTAAAGCACTGATTGCCTTATTATCCCTATCAAAGCTAGCTCTGCACTGTGTTGTAATCACTTCTTTAAATCCCGCTTTTCTTACTAGAGGAAGGACTCCGGAAGGAGGGCAGGAATCACTACTGCCTTGTCAGTTGCCACTCTATCCTCCAAACCTGGTAGGGTACATGGTCTGTAATAGAAGTTCAACTGTATTTGTTAACTGAATGTGCAGATAAGTGAGGGAAAAGAACTCCCTCTTCTAGGGTGTCCAACTGTCCAGTTTTGCCAGGACTGAGGTAATTTCCAGGCCCTGAGACTTTCAGTGCTCAAACCAGGATAGTTCCAGGCAAATTGGTATAGTTAAACGGTGACCTCCTGGATTTTTCTGCACCACCAGATCCAGGTTGCAGACCCGCCCTCCCCTCCCAGAAGTTCTAAACCCTGTCACACCTGCACGTACTGCTGCTCACCTCACCCATTAGCTGGAAGGAGGGGGCCATCTTCTAAGTGACATCCTTTGTGGCCCATTTCTGTTCAGTGACAAATGCCTAGCCATGCTTCTTTATGAGAGGCGATAATGGTTTATTTATTTCCCAGATTCAGAAAATGGTGAAGTGTCAGGATAATTGGGAGAGATGCTCAAACTTAAGTTGTGTCCCTGAGTCTGCCCAAAAGTGAGCATGGTGCCAGATATCTGGTCACTCCAGATGAGAAACTGCTCCTCTTCCTTCCTGGTTGCCTGAAAACCCAGCACGGGTCCCACCTGCCCATCTATTTGCAAAGCTCACCTCCCTTTCTCTCATATCAGGGTTAATAGAGGTGAGACACTTAAGGACCTGCTCACCCCACAACTCTGCTGGGAACGTGTTAAGGGAAGATAAAGCTGGTTGGAGTCTTAGGGAAAAGATAAGCAAAGTCCTGCCACTCAGGGTCCAGAATTCTTGTCTATATGGAAAGTGGCCATTGGATTTTGCCACCCGTTTGAAACAAGTTCATCCAAGGCATGTAATTCCTGCTTATTTCTAGTATGCTCTTCTATCTAGACTATCTGGAAAATATAAGTTAAAACTGAAGGCAAGGAACAAACCAGAAACACATGTCCTTCTATAATACATTAACCGTGCTATATTCATATAATAGAATAGTACAGGGTAATAACAGAGAATGAACTACTGATATAAGCCACAACACAGATGAATCTCAAATATATTACACTAAGTCAAAGAAACCAGACACAGAAGTACCTCCTGTATGATACATTTTATATAAAGTCCAAAACCAAACAAAACTGATCTTTGTTGTTAGAAGTTAGGGTAGTGGCTACCTTGAGAGTAGGAGGGTTATATTGATTAGGAGAACTTTTTGCAGGAACAGAAAAGTTCTGTACCTTGATTTGGGTGACAGTTATATGAATGTACACATTGGCAAAAGTTCCTTAATTCGTATATTTAAGATGAGTTCACTTTATACCTCAATTAAAAAACAAAACAAAACCAAAGTACAAAATCAACAGAGGAGATACTTGCTTTAAGCCTGGTCCAGCAAGTCATGTCATTTGACTCCAAGGAAAACATTCTTACCTCTTCTGTAAGTACATTATTCTACCTACCTGCTTTGGCTGTCAAATTAAATTAGATAAAACTGAGTGGGGTGGTTGTTCAATCTCATTTGTTAAATGTATGCTCGACAAAGGCAATGCTGTCAATCCCAATGAAATTAAGGTTTGTCAAATGACGAAACTGATGCGTGTGTGTGTGTTTTTTAATAAAAGACAGATTTCTGCATTTAGGACTCACTCTCAAATATCTTTCTAGCAGCTGTACCTCTCAGCCTATTAGTCAAGGGCAGGCACCCAGCCAGCTGTTTGGTGGAGTCGACTTCTCCATACATGATCATTTCAAAGGTCATGTATATGCTAATTTACTACCTGGTTGTTATTTAAGAGGATTTTATTACATCATATTATGTTGATTTATTCTTTCTCCTCCTCCAGGAAATTCTGGATTCTAGAGCACCCACTGGCGGGATAGCCCTGGGTGAGTATGAGACTTCAAAGAAATCACTGTTGTCATTTTTCACATTAAACAGGAACACACACAAGCAATATGCTTTGGCTGGACATAATTATGATCACCATTGTCTAGAACTAGAAGAGAGAAGTGTTTTCAACAAAAATTATTCATATTTTTTTAAAAAAAGAAGAGAGCAAGCATGAAAGACACCCACATGCTCTATCTAAGAACATACTTTAACAATAGCAATGCTCATATAGTGAATTGACAATGTCTAGGCCTTTATAATTTGACTCAATTTTCTTTTTTTCCCTTGGGGGCAAACTAACGGTTTCACTCTTTTATTATAAGGCAATGCAGTTTCATTTTCTATGGGTTCTGTGAGGTCCACAGTATCCTTAAGTTGGAATCATGTGGGAAAAGAATGAAACACCAAGAGGAGAAAAAAAAGAGGTTCAGGAGAAGGCCAGGATAAGAGAGGTGAGGTGGCAATTGTAAGGCAGCTTACAGGAGGGGAGGGTGGTGTGTTGATGGAAAGAGATCGCGTATACAAGGCCATTTCATATGGCAGGAGTTACAGAAGTGGTTTCTGTGGTGGTGGCGCAGGGAGGAGAGCTGTGATGAAAAAGGCAAATAGGAGAGAGCCACAAGAAGAAGGGCCTGGAGAGATCAGGTCCCGATAAAAGCCCTGATTTGTTTTCAAATGAACATCTCTGCCTCATTTACTTTTCAGTAGCACCTGTAATCTGTGAGACCTCCCCCACATGTGTTCATGTTGGAGAAAAGACTGACTCAAGCACAAAATCGTCAGTGAGTGATCACCATTGTTCTGCTCAAATGTCACATGCAGGCACCCATACGCTGCCATTCAGAAATCTATTAGCAACATAGCGAAGTCAGGAACTTCCGTGACCTACTTTTACCAGACAGTGGATGCTTCTAATTCTGCAATCAGCGAAACAGCAAAGCAATTAGAAAATGTGTGTGGCGTGGTGCCGGATCATATCAGGCAAATACAGCTGCTGAGGAAAGGTTACTAGAATGTAACTTAAACAGCTTGTGTGCTTCTAAATTTGCCCCAGGTAGTGAGGGGCACCAGGCAAAAGGGAGTTCTGCAAAAAACCACACTCCTCCCTCCACCAACCCAACCTTCATATAGCCTGAGTTATATCTGTGCCCTCAGATTCCCCCCACCTCAGTCCTTCCTGCCCTAACTGTGCCCTCCACATAGATGAACCAAGATCTGTATCTGCATTTGACATCTTGCCCTCTTTAAATGCTGAAGGGCTCCAGATCACCCCCCAATGAGATAGGTACGTGTGTTTATCCTTCCAGAACCACAAACTCAAACGCAAATCATCAAATGTAATAGCTAATTATATCCCTCTGCCCTAAGTCCCACCCCTTCCTCCTCTGTTCTCTTTCTTAAGTTATATGGAAAAATACCCCGCCAAGAAAAGATGAAAAATAAACTGGACAAACCACTTTGTGCATTAGGATTTTTCTCAAAAAAGGGATTCATTGTAGAATTCGTTTTAAAGTGTTCACACCTACATTACAACTGCATTTTTGAAAATCAAAAAAGAAAAAAAGTTCAATTAGGAGCCCTATGCCTCAACAAATCAAAACTATTTATTTGATTTTATTGCTTTGTTTTTTAAAGGAAACCACCTATCACAGCAGAGATATCTCTTTTTTGTCTCTTCCTTTCTGCTCTGTATTTTATGATAAGCCATTTTTCTCAGGGATATAGAGCCGCTTAGAATCCCCCTAAATAGCGTGGCCACCCCCAATTCTCACCTCTCCAACTCCCAAGTCAAATGATTCCATTTTCCCACACCTTTCTGCAGTTACACTGCTATAAGCACAGTATTAGGCGTAACAATGATGGGGAGCAATGGGACGAAGGCTGTCTGCCTTCATTGAAGCTTGAAAATTAAATACTACAGATACTCTTTGACTTACGACAGGGCCATATCCTGATAAACTCACTGTAAGTTGAAAATATCATGAGTCCAAAATATATTTAATATGCCTAAACTACTGAACATCATAGTTTAGCTTACCTTGGTGTAAACTCAGAACACTTTCATTAGCCTGCAGTTGGACAAAATCATCTAACATCAAGCCTATTTTATAATGAAGTGTTGAATATCTCATGTATTTTATTGAATACTGCACTGAAAGTGAAAATCAGAACGGTCATGTAAACAAGTATTCAAAGAACGGTTTCTATGGAACGTATATCACTTTTGCACCACTGTAGAGTTGAAAATCGTATGTTGAACCAGCATATATAGGGAACCAGCTGTATTTGTCATGGTCTTTCCTTGAGTCAGCCCCTAATCACAAATTTCTCCACAGCAAAGATATCTAGCAATGGCTTGGCTGAACCCCAGAGTAGGCAATGCAACCCGTGCTATGAAGTTTGCAAAATTCCCAAGCAAAATTACTCTATGTGCTAGAGAGCATGTTTCCTTGGAGAGGAACATGGTTGAGTCTGGAATACCCTGAAAGCAGACCCTGAGACCAAGGTGCATATAGTGCATGTAGGAAGGGATCTCAGGCAGCACCCATGGAGGAGTGGGGAAGTGAGCCGGGAAGAGAAGGCAACCAATTCAAGGTGCGTTCATGAGCAACTGACTGATGTAGACAACTGGAGCTTGATCCCACTGGAAGTTAACCTCAGGGCTATCCCCACTGAGCAGGAGGAAGCTGAGGCATCTGTCTTCCAATTCATCGGGACATAAACTCCAGAGCTTCTTGCTTGCCCCATGTCTCAGTCAACCATGTTTCCAGGGCCAGTACTGAAGTTTTGAAGCAGAGCACCTCAAGGGTTCAAAGTAAGTACACAGGCAGTGGAGGTGAGTGCCTGGGGCATGGAGGTCATTCCTGATAGCTTCTGCTACAGAGGGGATCAGTCAAGGGCAGACACCAAAAGGTTGCATGGGTGAATCCAAATGTGCAGGTACAGGCCTGTTTGTTTCTCTTGCTTCACTCCATGAAATCCTGGTGTTCTGTGGACAGGCAATAGACTGGATTTTCCTAAGATCTGAGCTGCCTATAAGTAAATTGGGTGTCTTTAGAAGTTGTCTGCACCCGGCCTTATGGGGCTCTCAATGGGAAAATATTGGTGCTGGAACCAAAATCACAGCTCACAGAGCCTGAAGCAGTTAAAGGCCCTTCCAAAGACCCCAATTTACACCCAAGGAGCAATTGAATCACTAGGAAACCTGGATTCATAAATACCAAAATCCTCAGAGACGTTGACTGTTTGGCAGTAGACATCCATGTCCAGACAAGGCTGCCACCCTCCTCAGTGTGACATTCTGTTCACCCAAAGGTGAGAGATAGTCAGATTCAAGACAGGCCTTATGCAAGTTGACTGCTTCATGCTTCCTAGGAAGCCTGCTGGAGTAAGTTGGGAGTTTTGTTGTTGGTGTTATTGTTGGATTTTTGGCGGGGGGTTAATTTTGCAAGCTCTGTCTTTGTCAAATGCTACCACAGGCAACATTAAGACAGCTCTACATATGGTCACCAAAAGACATGTTCAAGGATATTTGTAGAAGCTTATTTGCAATAGCCCCGAACTGGAAATCACCCAGATGTCTGTCAGCAGCAGAATGGATAAACAAACTGTAATACATTCATACAATAAGATACAGCAATAAAAGGAAGAAACTACTGATACAGGCAACAACATGGATGGATCTCATAAGCATTATGCTAAGTGAAAACAGTCAGACACAAACGACTGCATACTGCATGATTCCATTCACATGAATTCTAGAACAGACAAAACTAATCTATAGGGACAGAAGTCAGACTAGGTTTTGCCTTTGGGGGATATTGACTAGAAAGGGAATCAAGGGAACTTTCTGGGGTGCTACAACTGTGTTCTATCTTGATCTGGGGGGTGGTTACACGGGTGAATACATATGCACTTAAAACCCATCAACATTAAAGAGTTGTGTACTCTTTGCACTGTATGTTTTATATATACTTGAATAAAAAGTCAAAGTAAATGAATAGAATAACAATTTTAAAGAATAATAATAAAATGAGACATTTCTAGAGAATATTGTCTCCCTCTCTCTAACTGTGACCAGTGGGAGCTTAAGCCCTTTCCTAGAACTTGACCTCCTGATAGAAAATGGTCGAGAGGGTTCTCTTCGGTGAAGCTGTCAAATTTTGCCACAGAAAACTGAAGACAGGAGGAAAAACTCCAAGTGAGTCCAGAGCCTTTGGTGGGCAACATGAAGGGTTTGGGAGATTTAATCCATGCCCCCTCAAATGCATGCACACACAGCACACAGCAACAAAGCACACACACTCATTCATGTATGCCATCCCATCCACACACATCCCATGTCCCTGCCACCTTACAACATCACACACACTGCACAAATCACACATCACATACATAGCACATTCACATACACAATCACATCACATGGCACAGACCTGCATACACATATAAGGCACATAGCACATACTCATACCACAGGGGATCACACACACACACACACACACACACACACAGAGAGAGAGAGAGAGAGAGAGAGAGAGAGAGAGAGAGAGAGAGAGAGAGAGAGAGAACAGAGGCAGCCCCTCTCCAAACAGGGTCAGTTCTTAGTTCTCCAGCACCTTCTGGGTAATCATCTCCTTCTTTCCACTGCCAATCACAGCCACTGTCATCATCATTATAATCATCATCATCATCATAGTTCCAGAAACATCCCTCATGGAAAGGAACATCTCAGAGCACACACAGCTGTGCCTGCAGACAAAGACATCTGCCTGGAGTCACCTGCTCATCCCAAAAGCTGTCCAGGCACATCAGGTTTACTCCTGGTTCTGCAGAGCAAGTGCCTTGCAACCTTCAGCTTCAGCCCTGGCAGAAACCTTGCAGCAACATCTGCAACTCCCCTCCTCTCTCTGTGTGTGTCCTACTGGCCGCTGCCCTCTCCTCTGTAAGGAGCCTTGCTTCACTTCTTAGTGTGAATCACTTAGTGTGGATCACTTAGTATCCTCCCTAGGCCCAGATCAGCCTGACTTTCCACACACTGACCTCATTGCCAGGAGGATGCAGAGAAACCAGCCAACATCCAGAAGGTGCCAACTTCTCCATCTGGGATGCCAGCGCCTCCTCTCTGTTAGTCTTTGTCATGGGCTGGGTGCATAGCTGCAGCCTTCTGAAATTTTGAAAAGCATTTTTTCTGCCATTGTTACCTTAACTTGAAAACTAAATTCATTGAGTCCATTTCAATATCTACTGAGCATCCAGACTTTCTGCAGAAATAGGTCTCCACATGTGGAACACTGAAAACTGCCCATCATTGTACCCACAGTTTTCCTTTTAGGAGTCTCCCTCAAAGATATATATACAAGCATGGTTATCACAGTTCTTCTGTATTATAAAGACTGAAAACAGCCTGACATTCAACCAAGAGGGAGCTGGCTAAGTTAATTATGACAAATTCTTACATAGACTATTACCTAGTTGTTGCAGAGGATGACACAGATTGGTATGCCCTGACATGGAAGGAAAATGTCCAAGAAAATTATGTAAGGGGAAAAATAAGTGAAAAAGTCACATGGTGAGAAAGAATATAGATTTTTCTATATATAACGTGAACTCATTTTTGTTGAGAGAGAGAGAGTGTGTGTGTGTGTATGAGTGTGTGTGTGTGTGTGTGTGTGTGTGTGTGCGCGCGCGCGTGCGTGTGTGTGAGTGAAGAACTTAAAGACTAAAACCAAGATGTACCAGAAGTTTTCTCTGGTAATGTTACAGAGCAGTGTTACTTTTTTGTTTCATTTTTAAACATGTGTTACTTTTAAAATCAGAAATACAAAATAAAGGACTTAAATATTTTTTCTAAGTGCCCATCACTGGCTCCCTACCGATTCTTTTTAAAATCTTGGGTTACCAATACTCAGAGGCAGCTGGACCTTGAAGTCAGGCATACCAAAATTAAATACTGAGTTCAGCATTTTCTAGCTATGGGTTCTGGGCATGTGACACTGCTTTGTTGAACCTTCCTTTCATCCATCATCAACAAGCCTCATCGAGAGCCTACTCAAAGCCACCCTCTGTGCCAACCCTGGGATGACTGTGGTAGACAAAATACTCATTCCCCCTCCTACCTGGAGTCGTGGCTATAGTTGTAAAATGAGGGTATCTTTGTGGGACTGTTTAAAGGATTATTAACATAATTCCTAGCACATAAAAGGCCTTTGAAAACTGTCAGCTATTTTTAAAAAATATTCAAGAACATGACTTAGCTAAGGTGGGATAAACTGCCTAGCCAGTAGCTCCTAACTTATATTGGCTGTAATGGAAGCTTATGTTTTGTTCATGTAACAGTCCAAGATGGGAGCTCCAGATCAGGCAGTTCTGCTCCATGCAATGCCCTTCCTTAGAAAGAGGAGGCTCTTCCATCTTTAAGTGTGGCTTTCAAGGTGACCCTAGTGTTTCACTACATCCCAGACAGCCAGTGGGTAAGATAAGAACTTGGCGGAAAACCTGGAAATCTTTTGTGGTTGGCTCAGAGATGCACATGTTATTTCTGCTCGCATCCCATTTGCCAGAACTCAGGCACATGGCCACACCCACAGTTGCATGAGAGGCTGGGAAATGTAGTCTAACTGGTTATCTAGGGACATAAAACATGTTTGGGGGACCAGCCAGAAATCACTGCCACAGTAAGTAAGAGGATACAAATCTCAATGATTCTGTGTGAGTTTGTGTCCAGTCTGCAAAAATCTAATGTTCAAAGATGCTTTGCTCTGGGAAGTTCACAAGCTCCATTTTGCTGAACTTTTCGTTTTTTGGAAGAGCTCTAAGATGACATCTTTTTAAGCTTCTCTTTTTTATTATCAAGGTTGTCCTGCCACCATTTCAGATATTACTAAAAAACAATGTAAGCCCCCAGCTCCAACTTGCACAAAATTTGAGATACTGTCAAAAATAAATGCCAGCTCATCAGATTCTATGTGAAAGAGATGCCGACACACATATAACTCAAACCAAAAGCTACAGACAAAAAGCTGTACTGTGCATACATTGTTACCCCCACCACAAAGAACCTTTCATACTAACCAGTGAATCCACGGAGTTAATCATGGTAACTGAGAGGAAGCATCATCTTTCTCTTAAGCTGGCACTTTGCAGAACCAGTACTTATGTGTCTGTCTGTCAGAGGCTTCCCTTATAGATCCAGAGGGCTAGCGATCTAGTTCTACAGTGTGGTTTGCTTTTGTTATCTAGGAGATTGCAGAAAGTTCATGTGTGTGGTTGAGACAGGGGCAAGATATATATAATATGATACTATTAATTAATTCATTTATTCATTCATCCACTCAATCAATATATACTGAGTGACTCCTCAATTGCAAACACTCTGGGTCCCGGGCTGAGGGTACCAAGATGGAAGGCACATTCGCTGTCTTGTGGGGGAGTCAGCTATGTGAATATTCAATTGCAATGCAGCAGGACACCTGCTACAGCAGAAGCACATGCAATGGCAGTGGAAGCACAAGAAATAGATTATTAGAAAGACCACTCAATTCTTTGTGAATACTCTGATTTACTTGGCACAGAGGCATAAAGTAGCTCATCAGAAATCCTCCTATGCTCATTAGGAGGATGAAACGATTGGAAATGTGAAGAGAAAGGCAATGCTCCTGGGACCCAAGGGCTCTTTATTTCTGCTGTCATTGGAAAGAGAGTGGGCAAAATACCAGCAGCTGCAGATGTTGGGTCTCTCCTGTATTCCAAGCACCTTGCACGTCTGTCACTCATCCTGCCAGTCAGATATCACTGCTACCCATTGTGCAGATGCATCTCTGAAGCCCAGAGAGATTAAGACACTTGTCCCATTATGCAGTGACCTGCAGACCTGAGAATTTGGTCTGTTTGACTCCAAAAGACTGATCCCCTTCCATCACTTCCTCTCACTGCCTCCCACCCTCATGGAAAATTAGGGAGAGCAGACCCAGCGGAGAGTGGGAAGATCCCTTAATCCGACTGGTCGGGAGAGACAACAAAGGATGGAGGAAAGAGACTGGCCTCAGAAGACGATGCTCACCTCCTGGGAGTAATTCGAGGATAAACTTTTGTGATTCATTCCTTGACTCAGTGCAATTGTCACTGTACATTCAATGATATTTATTTAGCAGCTGCTAGGTACCAGGCTCTGTTCTAGGTGCTGGAGGGATACAGCAGTCAACAAGACAAGGGGGCGGGTAGTGGAAGAGGGGGAATAAATATGCTAAAATTTTTTGTTACACATAAGAAGTAATAAAATAGATACCTTTTCATTCTTGATGGTAATGATTAGAGACCCTAAATAATGAGCAGAGTTTTAAAAAATCCATTTTAACACAAAATACTTCAAATTGTAAAA